TATTATTATTATTTTTATTATTCACACACTTAAAATTGCCATTTGTGCTGCAATGTTTTAGTCTTACTGTCGCCACTTACCCTAACATGCATGTCATTTGACTGTGGGGGGAAACAAGAAGAAGAACGGAACGAGCTGAACCTGAAGCCTATTTGCTGAAAAAGATCTCAATTCTGCACCTTGCTGCCAATGTACAAGACTAAAATAGAATTAAACTTATATAACTTATAATTTGTTCATGCATGTCTTTAAATCTAGGATCTATGTACCTTTTACTTCATAGAGTACATATTTAGTTACTTGGCCCTCAAAAAAGGTTCATATAGTAACTTGAGGGCCAATATTTAGCCCTACAGAGTTTGTGTGTTTGTATCTGTAGGGCCAAAAATGGACTTTTACTATACCTATTTTTTGACAGTACAGTGAAAAGCCTAGCACCTGGGTTTTGAACCATTTCAATCAAGAAAGGTTAAAAATTAAAAACTGATACTTTGCCTGAATATAATAAATGTTACACATATTTAGCGTCATTCTTTGATTCTTTCTTTGTGATTCGCATGTTGCTCAGCTGCCCTTCCCTACCTGACCCTCACCATTTATCCCGGCTTGGGAAGCGACTTGTTGCCCGCTGTGGCTGGGTTGCTGCTTTCTTTAGGGGTCTGTGGTGAACTCTAAAGGGAACCGCCAAGTAGAGGAGGAAGATATGAAATGTCACATTTATTGTTGTTATTTTTATCATTAGGGAGATAAATATGCTTAAGGAGGGGTAGATTTTTGTTGTTGTAGCAGTTGCTGCTTGTTTGCATCACCCACGCACGATCCCTCATTTCTCAAACTGGGATTTTTTGGCTTCGGTAGCAACAAAACCTAAATTCTAGGCTTCAAATCATCCCTTTGGAAAATGCAGAGGGATCACAGGAACACTACAGATGTGTTCTTTCTAGGTTAAGAAACTCTCTTAATGAGCTGCTTGCACTTTACTGCTTTAGGAAGGTTTCAGAATGATCTCAGAAAATTCCTGGGACGGTTTCTTCATGGGCAATGATTTAGCAGTGAGTTCAGTAATATAGACCAACGCCAATAGGCACTTTCCTACATTGTTGTTGAGCCGGTGAAATTAAAAGAAGAAAGTCTTTTGTGCAGGTTTGTGCAAAAAACACGCAGCGGTTTTTGTCAGAAAGACACAGCCACCTCCTCCATCTCGCCCTCCAAACATAAAATAAGCTCTTTCATATGGAAATGGACTAATTGATTTCCTAAAATCCACATTAAAGCCGTGTATAATTGTGCTCACTGTTTTGGAGCAATTAAAGCAGAATTTTCCCAACAGTTAATGACTATTATGGGATTTGCGTAATTGAGGCCCCGCTTGAATAAGCTTTGTTTGGGGTTTTTTTTTCTCGCAGCAGATTCTGGGCCTCAGCGAGAGGAAATCCACTCCAGTGTCTTAACACATGAGCACACAGCAGTGGGAGTCACAGCTCTTTGACCTTTGAACCTGGTGCACACAAAGCCATTCACACTCATGACCCTCATAATGTCTGCACACATCACACTCTTGGTTTCTCTGCTTGTTTGAGCTAAAAAGAAACAGTTTTCAGGGAAAATCTGACTTCACACTGTAATGTGACATGTGGGGAAGATTTGGTAAAATGAGTGAGATGGCAATACGTTTTTAACAGCATATATTTATATATATATTTTAATACTATATCCTTTGAAAAGGTCTTGGAACGCAGTAAATGTTGGTATGTTGCTCAGTGTGTTAAAACATTCACCTGAAGACTCCTCGTGCTGTTCACCTTACTAACAAACACTAAACATTTTATTAAAATTGTTTTCTACTTTTTTTGAATGTTTTTGTTTGCGCTCACTTGTTATCGACAGTATAATAACTTTTTGTGATAATAGCTTTTCCTAAATACTGTGTGGATGTGTTCATGCCTACTGTACACGCATGTATAATTTGTCTGTGGAGAGGTTCCCAACAAAAACCAACGCAGTGTATTGTCAGGAAGGGGATGAAGGAGGTGTGTGCTATTGCAGACAGCAACTCTTCAAGGCCAAAACACAAAGAACTCATTCATTCAGTCATATGTTATCTCACGGGAGCAGAAATGTGTGAAAAGCCTCCATCACAGATTTCAGAGAGAGGAGGAAGGATCCAAATGCAAGACGCATAAAGCGGACGAAACTTTACAGTAGACGTATAATTAGAGCAGGGCGATATGACCAAAAATATTTATCACGATATACATTTGAAAATTTGCGATAACTGATGATATAATTGACACTAGACAAAATACTTTACAACTCCACAACTTTATTAGTGCAAAAAAAACCCTAATCAATGTATTTTCACTTAAACAAGCAGCTTTTTTTTATGTGCATTAAAGTTATATAAAAATGTAACAGTGCAAATTCCTTGCTGACAGTTTAACCAAAAGGCATTTCCAGTGGAAATTGGCCGACATATCCTCAGCATAACCATGCATAATATCCACAAAACTTAAAAATACGGTAATATTATGTTGAAGCACAGTACGTATCACTCCGCCAGGCTCCTGCCTACGGTAGCCGTAATGTGCTGACAATCCATCAAGCAGTGCGGCTTCGTAGCTTAGCAAAGTCGTACTGAAACATTTGACAGATTTTCGAGCGCCACGCAATCGTTTCGAGGTCAGTAAACACAACCAGAATTCATACATGAGGCACACGGATTATAAGGGGCGCTGTCGATTTTCAGAAGAATCAAAGGATTGATTTTTAAGTGTGCCGTATTTTCCAAA